CTGGAGCGAAACGGACATTGGGGAATCTGGCCAATTGGTTCACAAGTTCTCTATAAAGATACTCTTGACGCTAAGGGTAAGATAACAAAAGACTCTAAGATAGATGCAAATCTAGAAATTATTCACAAAATGCATTTAGACCTAAAAATTGTTTGAAGCTCTTGTCAATACTACATCAAGTTTTTTCCATAATACTTTTCAGATTTCAAAATCCAACACTGTAGTCCCCATAATAATATAAGCAAAGTCAGCAAATTCTTCTCAATTAATCTTGATACGTACTTTTACCATAATTACAAATACTTACTGAATCAACATGGATGTAGTAATAGTGGTTGACATGAAACAATGCCTTAAAAAGCCTTTTGGTCTGCCTAAGTGATCTACCATTGAGAGTCAAGATAAAAGCAATTCTCACTGCATTCTTTGGAAACTCTTCTGATAAAGAGCTGACCAGATGGACAGCATTATTGGGCTTTTCTGAAATACAATTTTCCAGTTGATAAAATACAAATTTTATTTTTCTATCTTCTTATTCCTAATATGGAAACAGACTGACAGCGTTTGGCCAAATGGTTTAAATCCATATTAACGCATTTTGGTGAATCCACAGTCCATCATGAGACTTTTATAACACAGAATGATCCTTCAAATTTATGTTCTAATAACATTAAAAATAAAGAAATCTCTGCCTTCACAATCTATACATTACTTTAATAACACAAAAAATTGAGAAATGTCTGCCTTTACAATCTATACAAATACCTCCCAGCCCCGTGTGGTAAATATTCTGTGCCTTGTACCCTCCACACAGAGCTCCACTCTCCCCTGGACACTTGCTACTGCAGGAGGCCTCATGGAGTTGGCCATATTTACCATACTCATTACCACACCAGCATTCTTTGCCATATTGCACACCTGCGTATTTAAATCCTGAAAATTTTTTTTGGAAAATTTAAAACCTGGCTGTCCATGGTCTAACATGTTGTGTGTGTGTGTGTGTGTGTGTGTGTGTGTGTGCGCGCGCGTGTGTGTGCATGTTTCATTTGCTGCACTTGAACTGTACTATAGCATGTGGGACAGTATGTAAAATCCTAATAACTAGACAGTATTGAGTGTTCAAAATATACTTAAAACATGGGGTCTTTTCATCCCATTCAAATTTATCAATGAACTACTCAACCCATACATCACATTAAGGGTATGTAAATGACACTCCCACCCCACCGCAATTTTAACACAGTTGTTAACGTAAAGCTTTATGCTACCTGCTCTTAAGCAATGATTCCAGCACTTTTGAGGAGAATTGTCCTTTGAAAACTGTGTATTGTGGCCATTAAGATCTCGGTTTTCCTGCTCATCCTTGAAACAACCAATAAATTCTCCTCCATTTTCACCTGAAAGTAAGTTTTTTTTCTTAAATCATAGTTGTTAAATGCTAAGTGAATAAAAAAGAAGCTTAAAAATAATGATTTTCTTTTCAAATCTGAGCAAAAAACCACGACTTATACAGTAGTGCTTAATATGCAAAATTTGATTCATGTAAAAGCAAAAATCAAGTAAATAATATAAATTACGCAATAATGTGTATATATGATCATTTTCAACAAAAAATGCACATTTGCTTTCAATAAGATCATTTTTAACCAAAAATATCCCATGACACTTATTCATCTGTATTTGCCCGCAGATATTTAAACAAAAGACCATTAACCTTTCAACAGAAAATCCTTCATAACAAACTCCCCTCTGTTTTGACATAGTAATCATAAAATATTGATAACATGTACCTTTTAAAGGACAAAATCTTGGTAAATTTTGCTTATACAGCTGCTTGCTCTCTGCTAAACAAGCCACTTCTGAAATTTCTTTTTTACACTGCAGTGTCTTTGCCCTTTTTAAAGCTGATAAAGCCTCTGCCTCCTGAATATTACACACAGGAGTGAAGGCCATTTCTGTTAAGGCACCAAAATTTGTTTCCCGACTCTCATGGTTTCTCTGCAAGAAAAAATTAAATGTTTCTTTTAAAATCAAAATTGCCAATAGCAAGAGATAAGAGAGAAATTAATTTCAAACAGCCTGCAAACAAAGTCAAACTTGTAACAACCTGTTGCCTGTTTTTGTGCAATCTTTGCCCACTTGTCACGTGTGCCTTTAGATCTCAAATTTTGTTCTTCAATTTCCCCAAGTTTTACAAAACCAAAGAAAATCTCCGACTTCATCTCAAACTGAAAACTAGTTCTGCTGGAAATCAATGCCAACTTTCCTATTTAGAAAAGGGGTTAAATATACAAGAAACTGCAGAGGGCGGAATACCATAAAGTTTGGCCCCATCCTACCCCTTATCTGCAAAGGAAGCCAGTTTGACCCCACACATATATTTGGATGTCACATGGCACAATTCCCACTGATGTAGCAGATTAACAAAACTAAGTTTACTTACACTGAACTCAACTTATATTAGTATGACATCAACCATTTTGGCAAAAATGGACTTGAACCTACTGGATCACCCTATACGCTCCTGAGGTTCATAGTAAAATATAATGTTAATAAAAATTCAGCACTAAAATTTCATGATGCCTAAAGATAGGATTTTTTAAAAAAATTTCTAGATTATTAATCCCTTCAGTGAAATTCATATTTCATATTTCTTGCTTTAAATACAGTACTACACTACTCTGCCAAAACAAACAACTCTTTATCAAATCAAATAATTCTTAATTTTCTTAAACTGGGTCTTGCTGTGATATTATGAGTAGTGAGTCTACTTGTCTCAATGTAAACACACAAGTTTTCTGTTTCCCATCTTTATTCTACTATATAAGTATAAGGTGGTCCCTCTCTCTCTGTTGCCAATCCCAAGACCAGGCAGGCATCCCTTTCAATTACTGCATAATTGCTGCAAATTGCTGCATATTGTAGGACTTAGTATTTTCATAATGTAGTGGCTAATGGTAGCTATTTTTATTAACTTTAATATTAGTATCACAGACATATCTTGTTGTTGAAATGTACCCGACATATGAAATATAAAATTATTGACATTGTACTGTACAGTTATATGGTAATGTATTAGAATTTCGAAATCATCTAAAATTCCCAAAATATGAGTTGCTGGTGTTTTCTTCCCGTCATGGGACTGGCATTTTCTTCCACTGGCTCAGGTTCACATATCACCCCATTGTACGGACCGTAGACAGTCAGTCTACGTATACTCACCGGTTTCTGGTCAACGTGTTGAGGCCATTTAGATGCTGCTCTTTCATGTTGCGGTCTTTCATAATCCTGGTTCCAGTAATAGAATTTGTATGCCAGGAAGAATTGAATAGCTAAAATAAAGATGACACCATAAATGAAAACTTTGTATTTAGCGCACAATCGATACGAGGCTGCATGTGTCATTCTGCCGGTACGGCAACATGTCTAGAGATAAAAATAAGAACGTCAAGCACTGACAAAGTCTGTACGATGTACGATAGGTGGCGCACATAATTAATCAAGATGGCGGCCCTAGCAAGGGTAATCAGTTGGAGAATAGGTACAAACTACATGAAAATGTTTAGAGTGCCAGCGCGGGGTAACAAAATAATGCGGTATGAAGACGGAACCACAAAAAAATTTATGGAATTTCAGGAAGAATTACAAATGTATGACCCCGTAAGTACTAAATAAATGGAAGTAAACAGGAGGGAAGAGGGGGGATACCGATCACGCTCAGGAAAAACCTTCGCTTGAATATTTCATGCTTTATGGTCAGCACTCCTGTTTAGCAATTATGGTTTTGGATTTGCACTGGCTGTGCTTTCCGTTCCAAGGGAGCTCTCTTCTATATTAATAATGGTATTACTATCTGGACTGTAAACATTTTTGTATACCATCTTAATCATATTTTTTTTCAACATCTTTCTGGAATTTTCAATTGATTATGTCTTGCTAGCTTTTAAGACTGATTTAACATTGTGTGTGGATTTTTCACTTTTCACACATTGACATTTTCAAGGTGTGACTTTGAACACTCACGGTGTAGGCCCTGTGCCAGATACAGTTTATTAAAGTCAATTTAATAACAGAATTGGTGATAATTATGCAGGTACCCGTTGTGTATTATTACATATATAAATTTACAGAAAAAAAAAAATCTCTTGGGTCATTCATAGAATTAGGGTAGGGTAAATAACTTTTTTTTTGGGAAATCTCTAAAGGAACTAGTGATTTTGGAGGCACAATGGATCAGAAAGTTCATTTCTGATGAGAAATTTGAGCTAGAAGCATTCTTTAGGTCAGTAATTTTACTATTTTTGGAAATGCATACAAAGCATGTGTACTACATTAACTTTATAGTAACTTTATGTATGTATATACCTGTACTGAAAAGGGTTGGGTGAAGCACAAATTTTGATCAGTAAGTGTTTTCTATGGCAGAAAATGATGCTCAACACACATGCGCAACTATTTTTTTACAACAGCCATTTATGTTGGTTAAATGGCAATTTTCAAAATGGCAGACAAAACGTGCTAGCAAGAGTTCCAATATCGACAAATAAAGGACCAATAGTTTGTAATACGCCTTTTCTTATGTTGTTAGGGTTTNTTCTTTTGCATGAAAGAAGCCAGTGATGTTATCACTATCATGAACTGAGACCAGCAAAGAAGTTTCCAAGGAAATATCCAATGTCTGGATATCCAAGAATACATTTTCTCTCTATGAGAACATTTCTAACAGTTCATGTTGGGGCTACATATAAAAAGCATTGTGCTTAAATAGGATGAATCTTATATCATAAACACTCTTTGATTGATTGAACTTCTTCACTTTTGTTTTTGTATATCTGACTTTTAATCCTTGTACTTCACAGACAGTTAATGCTTCATTAGTTCTTCTGTTGGAAATGTTCTTCTCAAACACAGGAAAAATACATTTTTGGAGATTCTGGCATTAAAGATTTCCTTCTTCATGTATGTAAAACAAAGGTGTCATCCATCCTAGTGTAATAATTTTAAAATATTCACTGTTTGGTAAGATAGTTGATTCTTCATTACAATTCCCATCCAGCAGATGTTGGGAAATCTTATCACTCCTCATTTCGATTGATCAAGATGACTGAGGTGGTTCATTGTCCCCATTATCAAAGATTCTGGCTCTTCAGTCTCTTCAGAATCTTTGTTGATGATGAAACTCTAGGTAGGCCCTTTTGGCTCTCATTTTGAAATTTGTCATTTTACTGACCTAAATAATTGCTGTATAAATAAATGATTGTCATATTTGTGTTCAGCATCAAATTAGCCTAAAGAACACCTGTTATGGAAAATTTATGAGATTAACCCTACCCTATTAGTATAGTTAATGTTTGAATAGCATATTTATTAGAATATTTTATGATTTTGTGGAAGATGTGCTTTTTTTTTTTTTTTTTAATTTTTCATTTTCATTTTTCAAACACTTGCATTTCCAAGATATGACTTTCAACTACCATCCACCTGAAGCCTTGTACTTGTAACATTTACTGTATTTCCACATTATTCAAATATTAGGATTTTTCTTTGTGTGAATTTGAACTCTTATGGACCTGAAGCTATATTCTTATTGCCCATGTTACCTGTTGTGCATGAATAAAATTTGGTGTTGATTGATTGTGCTGTTAAGCACTTAATTATTGCATCAAAATTGACAAAGTGATCTGTTTTGTGCATCTTTATTTTCTGCTTTTTATCTGTACAATTGACAGCTTTGCTGCCATGTCTTTTTTTTTCTGTACACTTTACAGCCTTGCTTCCTTGTTTTCCAAAAATGTGCTTCTCATTCAATAATGTCATTGTCGTCTTTCTGTTTCATTGTGGATACTTCTGATGATCTGTGGACCCTTTTATAAATTTATTTTCACTCAGTCTTTTTTTTTTTATTGAAAATATTCCCACAGTTTATTGGGATGGTTGTTCCATTTTATTTTGTTTTGACAATAAAATGTGTGACCCCTGTAGTTCAATAGAGGGGAAAAGGAGTCTATTTACCTCAGCTCAGAGACATCATTGGGCAAATAGTCTATATTTGTGTTTTAAAAAAATTCCATCTTTGCAGCTATTCTTTGCTTGATAAGTTATTTTGTACAAGTTTATAAATGCAGTCGCCTTGGACATGTAATCTGTATGCCAATCTATCTATCTTTAACTTTTTATTAATTTTAATAACTTTATTTACTGTGATGGTTGGACAGAAAAATTTGAGAGATGCTAAACATACCTTTTAAGGCACTCCCTGTAGAGGTAAATTGTGTAATTTTTAGCAGATTAAAAAGATATGGATCACAGTCTATCTTGCCCAGGTAAAATTGAATCTGTATGTTTGAATTTCTTCATGTAATATCTGTATATGTGCTCTTTTCCATGTCTAGGTAATAGGTAATGTATGCCTTAATCATACTATTTCTTACTTTTTACATATTTCAGTCCAAGATGTTTCCTAGGCTGCGAAGAGCCAGTGCCTTGGATCAAGCTGGCCTTTCTGTAGGGATAATTTTAGCTGGATGCGTACTTGCCCTTTCGTATGATTACCAAGATAATTTTACCAACATGAAGAAGGATCCAGAGTACATAATTATAAAAACTGAAAAGTAAGAAAGCACCTTCATTCATTTATAAGTAAAATGTAACCAAAATTAAGATATTCATTCTATAATTGTGTAAAGTCAATAATTAACTTGTTTGGTGGAGCATTAAATTGTGGAAATGTAAGCCTTAGGTTAATTTTTGTAAGTTTTTTTTATTATGAATGTCTACATGTTATTATTATAGTTGTTTTCTTTTTATAAAAGAGAAAATATATATATTTATATATCTTTTTCATTTTTGCAGATATAATAGACAGATTGAGGCATTTGAACCATTTTAGTGCACCATTGACATTGATGATTTGTTTTGACACTTCAAGCCATTTGAGTGGAGAAAATAAAGATGCCAGATTTAAGAAGAACACTAACATAAATTTTCCTTCACTCTTTAAGCTACATCAGTATAATAAAAAGTTTTAACTGAAAAAAAGTTTCAACTCAAGATATGGATAATTCACATTTTTTTTTGTTTTGCTTTGCACCTGTTAGTGATTGAAAATAATATGTACCAGTAAATAAAATTGCTTAAAACAAAGCAGTTCTGCTAGTTATTTGCTCTTGTTATGATCTCTGTCTATGGGTTTCAGATTATTAGTACCACCAGCGTGTACGCTGGCGGTACTCATGGTTTTAGTCCCGACCCGTCTCATCCAGCTCCACCGGCTCCGTTGGCTCCGTGAGTTTGGGATTATTCGGTGCATTTTCACGGGAGTAGCAGCCATAAGATACCGAAACTGAAAACTGTCTCTAATTCCGGAACCGTTAATGCTAGAGACCTGTTCTTTTTTGCATTTTGTAGAGCATGTCAAGCCCAGGTGGTCTCTGTATTTTTTTGATTTCCTGACAGTTTTTGAGTTATGCTGTATCAAAAAGTACATTGTGGTGGTGAAAGCAAAATGTGCAATACGGTAATGTATAATAAATTTTGAACCTCTGAAAAATAAAACACAAGGCTTGGTGAGGCAGACAACTTCTGGTCAAAAATACTATATTCTTAGGCATGTTAACAGTTTCATTATTTAATTAATAAGATATTAAAATTGTTTGTTTGACATTTCCTGCATCTTTACAACATTGTTAGTTGATTTTGTAAAAATGATGGTTAATTTGTTATCGTGTATTGTGTAATAAAGTTTCAAAAATGGAAATAAACTCATATCATTGCAGTTTGTCAGATTCAATCATTCACTATGTTCAGAATCTCAGAATGGAAGAAATTGGACATTTAACACTGCTCTATTGATATTTTTCCCATCTCATCAATTTTTTTAGTTGATCATATAAAAATGGCAGTAAACTGTTAATTTTGTTTTATGTTAAAAATGGAAAAAAAAAAACATTTCAGAACAGTGCTGTCTTGTTTACATTTTGGCATTTTCAAGTTGTGACTTTGAAGTTCCATGGGCCTGAAGACCTTTGCTAGTCACATTTTCTGAATATCCATGATACTAATATTTTATTATTAAAAATTGATGGTCATTATGCTGTTAAACATTATGTAATATTGCATCAAAATTTGAAAAAAAC